TGGTATTTATTCAGGTTCAGTATGTGATTCATTTAATGAATGGTTAAAATTATATTAAATATAAAAAAATAAATCCACCTATTGTATGATTTTAAATTATGTTTTCTTATCAGTCACTGTATATTTTTTAATAGTAAACAATCTAATAAATTATGCAAATATCATTGCATTTTTATTCTTTTCTTATGTGTACTCTGTATTTACTACTTAATGCAATGTGTTACAGGTGCTATTTTATGTATACCTATTATTTAAATATTGATAACAGCCACAATTAGTACTATCTCTCTCTTTGATTCTTACAATCCAAACCTTGGCTTGTCCCTGAAGAATAAAGTGTCATAATTCAAGTTATTGATATAATAATTGAAAATAAAACAATAACATCATTCAGTATAAAAATAAACAAAAAACAATAGAGACTCCATCTTTATGGTATTTTGTTACATGTTGATTTGGAAAAATACATAAATTAATAATTGATAATAATTATAATAAAATAACCATAATAATAATAAAAATTATAATTTGCAATTTGTATAGCGCCTCCTGTTGGACCAACCTCGAGGTGCTTGACAACAACGGAAGGAAACGGACAAGAAAAAAAAACCATGAACCTAGACTAACAACACTCAATAATAATACCTCCAGTGGTATTCCAAGTGGCTTTGAGTCCTGCGCCAATAAATGTACCACTCAAATCCCCAATTCAATACAGAATAACATTAGGCAGACCTAACCATTGACTGTAGGCTACAGTAAGAACTAGTAGAAACCATAAGGAGTTAACTGCAAAATGCTTTATTGGTATAATAAATAATAATACAGTACACTATTAACAAGTTTGATCTCTAACAATACTTCAATAAGTATACAATACAAACCCATCAAAAATCAAAATGCAATGAATGATATCTATTTGATACAGTATGTATTTATTTATGTATGTCAACATCAACAAAGCTATAATTTTAAGTAGAGTGGCACACGACCAGTTGCTGAACAGTAACAATGACAAGTGTATTAATACATTGAGTCACTTATCTCCATCACCAATAGACTTTAAGGACAAACATATCACAAAGACATACAATAGCACAGTGCTATACAAAAAGTGCTAATGAAGTCTAACAAGAGGTTCACAGAACAACAGAAACTGTAGCTTTTGAAATCCTTTTTTGGTGTCTTGCTGTACTGTAACTGTAAATAATGCACTTTTTTCTTGTTTGCATAGAAATTTCTTTAGTGAAATTATAAATTATTATAATTAATTATTATAATTATTAAACAAACTCCCAGGTTAAGTTGATAGCAAGTTTGAATTTGGAGAAATATTATTTAAATAACTACTATTATTTATTATTGTTGTTGTTATTAATATCATTGTAGTAATTATATCTGATGGAAAATGAAATAATTACCTTCCATTTTTAAGGTCCTGGTTTCAAATCCTGTTGTCAGTTTAAGCATATTTCATATTAAATCCTGTAATTGTTGTATAAACTTGCATTAAATGTGAAAGAAATGTTTTTTTTTATTAATGTATACAGTAGGTAAATTGTTATAAAAATCAGGAACCAGTTTGAGTACATTGCATGGTGAACTAAGATGATAAATACTAATGTTCATGTATTTGGAATGATCACTTTAATTAATCTTCATCATCATCGTTTATTCTGCTGTTCAAATTGAAATTTAATTTCCATGGAAGCAGCTTCACGATGGGAAGATTTAATATGTTATAAATCGCTCCAATTTAGTACCACTTAACAAAGGATAGCTAATAAAAGAGTCATGAGTGGGATACAGATGTAGACCGATCTAATATCAATGAATAAAATTACCTGACACAGTACCTTATAACAAGCCAGACAAAGAGAGAGTTAATGATCCTCTTATTACTTGAATAAACCTATCTATAATTGAGGGACTGCTTTATACAATACTATTGTTTTAAAATATTTTTTTGTTGTATTAATTTGTTCAAACTTCTATCAGACTTTAAAATAAAGTCATTTTTTTTTTGTTTACCATAAATGTAAAAAATCCTACTTGAGTGCTGAAGAGTAAATGAGGAGTGTGTTAGTTCTTACCTGTGTGATCGACCAAACCATGCTGTGTCCCTATTCAATACAAACTGGCTGGGAAAGCGGACAACCGCCCGAGACAATACCCAACCAGTCATCCTGCACACCCCCATTGTAAAGCCCATGTATCACCTGCCCGGGGTTTAGTATATAATCAGGTGTTACGATAATTATGTTAATGATTTATGAAGCAGACTGTAAGATGGTGAAAGCCAGGTAGAGCAGTCCAGACTGGCTGGCACCGTATCAAAGGTGTCCCTTTGTTTCCTTAGGCCCAATCCCTCAGGCTCTGATAGGAGGTGTTTTGTTCTAGGTTCATGGCATAAAGTGTTAGTTATTCTTTGTCTTCCTTCTCTAAGCTGGACATCATCTCTGCAGCAGGAGGCTTGAGTGTTTTTCTCTCTCAGTACTGCCTTATTCTTCCACTATGGAGCACTGTTCTTAAAATAGCTAGTGAGTTTTACACTAAATACCTACTGATCTTGGATATACATTCTTTTGAAAATTTATACAAGTAGAAAGAAATTCAAATTTGGAATGTCTGAGAGTTTAGTATCAGGTGAGGTTTTTTTTTATAAAATGTTAAAAATATGCAGTTATGATAAATTACAAACATAAACAAAGCAAGTTTTTAACTTTCTTTGTCAATATTAAATGATATTAGCACAGGTAATAAAATTTAGTGCATGTAATAATTATTTTATATTTTTTTTATAAATAAGTTAAAGTTTTTATTTCTTTTTATAACATTTGATTTTTTTTATTATGATTTGTTTAAGATTTTTTTTTAATTATTTAATTTTAATCAATAGTTTTGTAGGTGATAAGTTAATCTAGTATTATTCAAACAGTTCGTGTTAATTTATTAATAGTTAAATGATATTAGCACAGGTAATTAAATTTAGTGCATGTAATAATTATTTCATACTTTTTTATAAATAAGTTAAAGTTTTTATTTCTTTTTTATAATATTTGATTTTTTTTATTATGGTTTGTTTAAGATTGTTTTTAAATTACTTAATTTTTTTCGTTGATAGTTTTGTAGGTGATAAGTTAATCTAGTATTATTTAAACACAATTTGTGTTAATTTACGGAAGTTTTTTTTCTTCTCTTGGTGGATTATTTTTATTTCTTTTGTATAAACATTTGTTTTTGTTTTTTTTTTTTGTAATTATAATTTTGTTTAAGATTTTTTTAATTTTTTTTGTGTTATCACTTGGTGGGCCCTTTTGAGACTGTTTTTTTGTGACTCGCTTTCACCAGTCTGTGCAACTTAACGCCAGTTGTTATACAGTACAGTATATTTTTTTATTTAATTGTTATTTTTATTGGTTAATCTTTAAACCAAGTGGGGAAATATATTAATTTCTTTTACAGTTATTTCCTTATTTTAATTGTCATGGATAACGTTTTTTCATCCTCATTATTTGACCACTTGATAGTTCAGTGATTTGTTTGTCATCATTGAAGTAGACTTGGTTATCCTGTAGGATGTCATACTAAGGAGGATATTCTATATATACTCCTGTTCCCTATTGGATCACTTGATATTTTGGATAAGTAATTACTTACATTGTGGTGTTCTTACTTTGCTTGGTTACATTGTGGTGTTTTAAAATTTGCTTGGTTACATCATGGAGGTATAAAATGATGTTCATTAATTCCAACATCATAATTTTGAGATTTAAGGAAAAAAATGAATGTCTTTTTAATTTTCTTTTTTCTTTCTTTTAAAACATTTTTTTAAGAATACTACTGTAGATGTATAAGTTGTAAAAATAATTAACTAAAAATATTATTCTTATTAAAAATTCAAATATTATATAATCCTACACAATATATAAATGTAAATATAAGTATAAGTATACATAAGTACAGTAATATATTATATTTCTGTGTACAGTATATTTAGTATATACTGTAGGCCTGAATTGTGAATTTCATTATTGTTTTGGTAATTAGATCTGACACATATAGAATCCCTGTTACTTTATACAGAAAAAAAACCTGTTACATGTTTTTATGTACAGTAGTTTTTAATACTTTATCATTGTTTCCTTGTATTACTTGAGAAATACTTAAGTTTGTCATCTGTGGTGCTTGGGTATGGTAGATTATTCTGCCATTTCCTCTCTTCCTTGAACCAACATCCTTCCTTGTACTCCCTGTTTAACAAGTTGTTTGGATTTTTTTTTTCAAATGATATAGTTGATGAGAAAAACAATATTTAGTTGGTTTTTTTTTATCTGTGTTAAATTTTTTCAACCACTGAAATAACTTTTGATTTTATTGGTGTTTTGCAGTTTCTTCAGTTAATTTATTTATTTGAAGCTTCAGTTTCAAACAATTACTAATCAGTCATTTTGTCATATTTTTCACAAAATAAATACACTATCTGGTAAAATCTAGAGAAACCCCATTATTTTATTACATTAAAATAAAATGGCATTTTTTTATTCTAAAAGATAGAGACCAAAACAATCCAGTTTTTACCAATTTACAGACTTTTAGTACAAAAATCACTAAATCTATTGCCATTTTAAGAGCCTCGCATATATAGAAACACTTATTATTTATGCATCTAAAAATTGGCAAGTAAAATAATTCTTTAGTTTTTTTCCAAATCTGTTTTCAATTGGATATTTGTATCGTTTTTGGTAATAATAATAATAATAATAATAATAATAATAATAATAATAATAATAATAATAATAATAATAATGATGATGATGGTCAACTTATAGAGTGCATATTGTGGAGACCTCCATGCTCTTAATATAATACTATAACTTTACTTAGATTAATAGCAACTAATTTAAGTATTGAATTATGAATTCAAGATTTTTAGCTCAACAACAATTTTAGCTTAATGAACTCTTCAAATTAAAGATCTCTCGTTTTGTATTTTACAGTTGATGAGATTCTGGACAAAAATGAAACAAACAGTAGTATTTCTGACCGAGGAATTGACCTTGCTGATGACCCAGTTGTAGGATCACCCAACTCCCCAATGAGTCGTTCAGACACACATAGTACAGATGACTCCTTCGGACATGGAAGCTCCGAGGAGGAGGAAGTTGATATTGACGAGGTTCAAGATGGTGGTGGTTCCGGAGATAGTGGGGTTGATACCGGAATCCATCTGGAAGAATATCTGCATAGGAGTAACACTATGGTTATTTATCCTGAGGCTGTTGACGAGGACAGACGGAGTGATTATAAAGGTACTGATTTTTTTTTAATGTTTTTTTCTTAGTTTTCATTTGGATAATATTTTTATAATTTATTTTCTCTACTCTATTACTTTCCTGACAAGTTTGTAAATGTTCAACTTTACATATACATTAATATTATTACAGTAATATTAAAATTTTATTTTCTTAAGGATACACTTTTTATAATTTACCTTTAATTAATATTTTGATTTTAATTTCTATACCATAAATTGCCCTCATCTAGGGAAATATTTAATTTATAATTTATTAGTTTTTATATACAGTAATGATAATATACAGTGATTTTTATACAACAAAGGACTTTCCTTGAAAGGAATGTACTAGAATGTTCTTTTTGTTTATTTAAATAGTCATTTTAATTGGTAAACTATTAATCCAATATCATTACGATGATGGAATATGTTCTAAATAAAAACTAGATTTTTCCCTTATGCAATTCAAAACTTTTGATATTGCTACGTAATTACACTTGACTTTTTACATGACTTTGCATTTGCACATGAAAATTAATCATGGTCTCCGAACCGAACGTTTGAATTACGGTAGATCTTTAAAAATGGTTACTACTTTAAATACTGTAATACACCATTTTGTACAAAGGCCAGAAAGAAGGTCAGTAAGACTACTTGCCTACCAGTAGAAGATGATACTAACAACCATTTGAAAAAAACAGTGTGCATAGAAAATTATAAATTCACCTTGAAATTCATATGAATTGGGTTTGCATCATGTTTTACTACAACCAGTAAAAGCTGGTGCAAAAAAAAATTAGAGCATTTGCATCACCAATCAAAACTCAAGTTCGTCTCCTTCCAGAAGGCGTCTTAAAGGTGATTACTAAGTGTCTTAGGAAATTAAACTCAGGCTGCTCGGTTCTAAAGACCTTGGCCTAGACAGTTCCATGATATACTCAAATATCTATTATAAGTTAACAAAGCTTTTTAAGGGGGAAAATTACTGAACCATTCACAAAAAAAAAATTGGGGGATTAAATGATTTTACTGTGACACATGTTGACTGGATGTTTCCGAAGACTGGTAGATGCAGACTAAGATCTTTCAATGCAGTGATTGTAATCATTATGAACACAGATTTAAGTCATTAAGTAAGTATGTGTTAAAACAAATGAGGTGTTACACACATGCTCAGGTTAAGATCAGTGTGTTAATGTATCTTCATTGGCATACATGCATTGTTTAATGTGTTTTACTGGCTACATTTGTTAGAACATAGTGCGTTTTCCGACTGAAAGTATTTGGAAGTTTACTTAAAATTCCTTTTTTATGTGTTTAGGAGAGGAAGATGAGAATGGTTTGGAGCCAGTTAACTGCCCATATTGCGATCGTACCTACAAGAGATTAACGTCACTTAAGGAGCATATCAAGTACCGCCACGAGAAGGGATCCAACAGCTTTTCCTGTCCAAAATGTAATTACTGTTTTGCTCACAAATCACAGTTAGAAAGACACATGGCAACGCACATGCCCGGTCGAAACCAAGTGTGCGAAATTTGCAATAAGGCATTTGTGAACATTTATAGACTCCAGCGACATATGCTGACACATACTTCAGGAAATCGTAAATTCAAATGTGGAGAGTGCAGTAAAGCTTTTAAATACAAACACCACCTCAAGGAGCATCTTCGGATTCACAGTGGAGAGAAGCCATACGAGTGCTCCATCTGTAGAAAGCGGTTTTCACACTCTGGTTCATACAGTTCACATATTAGTAGTAAGAAGTGCTCTCCAGTTCATGTACCACCAATCATTAAAGATGCAATGGCAGCTCCAGTGAAAGTTGTCTCTGGAGATGTCCTACCAGATAGTAACGAAGGAAGCGGAAAAGAGAACAATGGTCACTCAGTATCAAACAACATCTCATATTTTTATCCATTGCATGTTAAAATCCCAACATCGAATGACTTAGTTCCAACAAATCAGAATTTCCCTGATAAACAAAACCAGCAGCATCTCACTTCACCACCAAACGAAGCAGTTAAGAAAGTTTTAGAAATTGTTGGTGCCACTGTTACCAAGCAGCAACAAGAAGGACAAAATACAGACATTTCTAAGATTAAAAAGACTGTTAATCCAACTCAAGAACATATTGAAATAATTAGCCCAAAAGTGAATACAACTGAAAAAGTCAAACTGCCTGAAATAACTAAAGACAGAGGTGTAGTGACAGCAAAAATGGTGAAGGCACCTCTTGGTACAATCCCACCACAAGACGACAATTATAGCATTGTTGATTACACATTAAAGAAAGTTCATGAGGCCAAAGCAGTTGCAAGCTGCCTGGAAACTCATCGAAAAAATAATGCTGGTAGCCTGGAGAAGGCCTTTTGTAAATTTTGTGGCAAGTTCTTTGAAAATCCCATAGAGTTGCACCAACATGAAAGGTACATCTGTACGATGAATGAAGAAGTTCAGGAAGCAGTCAGCAGTATGGACCCACCTCCATTACTGAAATCTAACTGTAAAGAGTTTTGCCGTTTGTGTGGTGAATCATTTGATAGTCCCATTGAGAAACACCAGCATGAGAGGTATCTCTGTGATATGAACGCAGACGTCTGCAGACAAAAAATGCGTTCAAATAATAATGATGTTCTCTCCCTGACAACTGTGAACCCTGAATCTGATGAGAAAGATACAAATGAAGAGAATAATGATGATGTTTCTGTGATAAATGAAGAAAAAGCAGCATTGAGTGATGACCAGACCATAGAAGTGGAGAGCACTAAAGAAGATGATTGTGAAAGTGAGGAAGATAATCCAGTAGCAGCAACTGAAGATCAACCAGAAGTTGAATCTATATCTAGTGCTCAAGAGCAAGCATTGAGAGCATTCTATGCCTTGCAAGCTCAACCTTCTGAAGATGGACTGACAAAGATCTCTCAGGCTTTAAACCTCAATGTAAATACCATATCAGATTGGTTCCAGAAAGCACGGCAACAAGAAGTTGATGGTACTGATCCATCTCTTAAAGGTCTTGAATATGCAAATAAAACTGCTTTTAATGGATCAGTTTCAGACTCAAGACCAGTATCTAACAGCCCTGAGCCAACTCCAAGCCCAGTTAGGACATCAGTGGTCCAAAGTAGTCCTCAAAGACCCACCGCAACAACACCAGAACCTACCAGGGATGAAGATCGAGGTGTAGATCTTACCAGACTTCGTCCAACACCACTTACATTACAGACAACATCACCCATCTCAAGCCCCCAGACAAGTCCTTCAAGCTACCATTCAAGACCTATAGTCACATCATCACCATCAACTACTGCACACGATGCACCACTTGATTTAAGTGTACCAAAGCGGATGTCACCAACACCAGAGTATCATTTGGATAGAAACAACCTTATGTTTCATTATAAATATCCATCGTTATATTCCCCTGCTTTGGGAAGTGTGATTTACCCAGGTTTACGGCCTCCTCTCCATCCACAAGCAAGTTTATATTTTGAAAACACCATTAAGGCACACAGTTTAGCGCACCAAGTTAATAAGAGGAGGTATCCTGATCCTCCATACTTTGCCTATTTGCCTTTGCCGAATGGCTATCAGCCCAAACGTCAAAGAATTAATGTCCCACCGATGGACTACCCTCAAATTCCAGAAATGATGGCAGCTGAGGCAGGTCTTCGAAAACCCGGGACAATTGAACTGAGCCACTCACCGACTTACCCTGTACACTCACCGAAGGGTTACCCTGAAGATAGTCATGGTAATTATGTAATTTGTTTTTTTGTCTCACTTTTTTTTTAAATTTGCTTGAAACATCTCTTTTATGAACTGTTGTTATACAGTTGATTTAATAACTTTCAGTCAACGCAGAATACCTGACTACTACAATACATTATAACTTGTTACTATCAACTAACATTTGTAGACCTGGCTATGTACATTTACAACTATTATTAAAGCTTTGAATGATAAGCGAGTCTAAATGTTTCATGACTTGTGTTCCTAACCCCATGTCGTGAGTGAGGTACTTTATTAACAAGTGATTTTTTTTTAAATTGCTTTTTTTATAAAGTGATTTAAGTACATCCAGATGCAAGTGACTTCACTCAGTTATCTTTCTTATCAATATATCCTAAGTGTAATTACTTTCTGATGATGGCTCCTAATAGTGAAACAAAGGCAACTACCTGACTCCAGTAAGTCTGCCGATAGACCATCATAATCTCTACCTTACATCTATGTCGAATCTAATTAATGTAAACTTAGGTAGCGTTTCCTTTTATAAAAAATTTAAAAAAAAACATGATGGATGATTTTGGCAAAGAAGAGAATTTTATGTCCATTGTAAATCTAATATGAGTATGTATTTAAAATTTCGAAGCCTTAATGATAAATTATTGTAACTTTATTTTTTAATTTTTATAGAAATCACCTCATCAAGAATGGATTACATGTATGATGATAATTGCAATGATGATTCTCCTGGTAAACAACGGAGACGAGATCGGGTCGTGCGTAGTGTGATTGGAGGCCTTTACGCTTGCAGTCAATGTCCGAAGACGTTTCAGAAGCACAGCTCTCTCTTAAGGCATGTTTATGAACATTCAGGTATGGCGAAGTTTTGATCATAATGTTTTTCCTTTCATTTATTATTAATTATACAAGAACCTCATTATTATATCCCTCTTTGATTTTGATTTTAGACACAAAGTTTAATATTTATTGAGCTACTTTTAATAACAATAAAAAAAGACAATTATAATAAATATATTAAAAAAGTGGGAATACACCTGAATAATCTTTTTACTAGTATTATCAACAATTTGAAGTAGGTCAGAAGTCAATATTGGAGTAATATTCATTGATTATTGCTACCGCGCGTTAAGTCAACGGTCAGGAACATAGCATTGTTAAGAGGGAATTCAGGAAATCCTCCTTAGACAATTTTAACGTTGAAATGCGCCGAAGATCCAATCTGATTTGAAAATACTATTGCAGTTCAAAGCATTCTGCCAGTTTTTTTCTACACGCAGATCAGGTGAAACCTAATCGGGTATAGTAATAAAATGAGACATACGTCACTCCCATCAATAACTAGGGACCAAGTATATATTGGTGGATTGTTGTGGTGTGCATGGTGGTATTATGAGGGTGATTTAGCCTCCCTTTATTTTGAGCGGGCTACTTTCTGACGCCATGAATGACATTCTCTTGATGACGATAATGACATTTCAATGGTGTGGGACCTATGATTGGAAGCACAAAACAGCTGGACCACAGGAAACAGGTGGTCTCCTGGGGTCTTCCCTTGAGATGCAGTTTGTGATTGAAGGAAACTCGTAAGTATCTAAGCACATGTTCACAGCAAGGCGGACTGTAGAGGGAGTTCACGGTGCCCGACAGGTGGCTTTCCCGCACAGGCATCTTGGCTCCACACACTTATAGTGTTAGGAAAGGTTTGGCGCAACGATAAAATCGTACAGGCAGACACAGCAGGACACAGACCACAAGTCGCCAATGATTGATTTATCAATCAGACGTATCAGAGAATTTAAAAACCTGTAAACGACTGGGGAGATTACAGAGTTGAAGAAAAAGGTGGAATACTTTACAGATGGTTATTTATTTAAATGATAATACTTAGCGCTAACTTTGAACTACTTCTCTTTGCAACTACAGCTGTTTTAAAATGAAGTTCAATAAGTGCCACATTGTATTGCAATATGCATGAAAGCAAAATGTATTAATTGTAAATTTTAAAAAATAACATGATGAAATTTTTGGTATATGTTTCAATATTTTGTTATATTTAATCTCTTGCAGGAAAACGCCCCCATATGTGCAAGGAATGCGGAAAAGCATTCAAACACAAGCATCATTTGATGGAACACTCTCGACTGCACAGCGGTGAGAAGCCATATCAGTGCGATAAATGTCTGAAGAAGTTTTCGCATTCCGGATCCTACAGCCAGCACATGAACCACCGTTACAGCTACTGTAAACGAGAGGATAATTTAGGTGCTGGATTTGGCCGCAAAAAGGGCGCGACAATTAAGCAGATAATGGCAAAAGAGGACTATGTAAATGGCTTGACAGAAGAGGTGAAAAGTACAAAAGAAAGCGAAATAGAGGCTTAGATGGATCGTCAACGAAGTCTGTGATCCCAAATCAAACTTTTTGATGCAATTTTTTAAAAGAAACTTTTATCGATCAAAACAGTGAAAAAACCCATAGCTGATAAGTAATACAATATAAGAAAAAAAAAACACATCTGAAGGTGTTGCTTACCTACCCTGGTAGGTCATACAAAACGATTTGTTGACTTCCAAGATTATTGATTATGAAAGTGTAATGAATCCATGAAGTATGATAAAGGACTAAGTGAGTATTATTAAAATGTCAGAACAACCATATGCAGTATCTAGTCTTCCTGGTGCATAGGACTGAGAACAAACTTTTTATTCACTTTAGTAAGAAAGTTTAATATTCATTCATATCAGACCCAGTACTCTGATTGGATGCATATGTCTTCACTTAGATCTTCAAAATATAATGCTAAGATTAAGGTTAAAGATTTTTTTATGATGTACATATATGGGATTTTTTTCTCCAGTCCATCTCAACATTATTATTGGTGTGCTTTCTATAAATTATGAAGAAATATTTATTTTAATTTATCTTTTAAGTTATATGTTATTCAAAATGTTCTTTCACTTCATTAGTAATAACTACAAGTGCTAAAATTGTTAAGAGTTTTATGTTATTTTGTCAAACATGTTCATTCATTGTACATAGTGATTACAAATCTTAAATGCAATGCATTTTGTTTAAAAATTGTTTTAAAATTGAACAAAAAACTGTAAATATTGGAGACTACCATTTGAACGGATACATATTCCATGAATTAATGATTGTTGAATTTTTAATGGTCAATTTACAGAACCAAGAAGGATACAGCATGTTAAGATGTAATAACCTGTTTTTAAGAATATCTTTTATACTATCAAATATATATGTTGCAATTTCTGCCAGCTTGAAAAATAATTTATATTCGTCGGGACCCCAACCGTGCTGCGGATACTGTTTTTATGTTATTTATCTTATATCCAGCGCTACAGGTCTCAAATACATTGCGTACTGTGCAGCTAATGCATTACTAAACCACAGCCATTGCATTAATCTCTTATGTTCATTGTTATGGGATTTTACTTCGATCAAAAAGGTTATATATATGTGTGTGTTTTTATGCAAGAAAAACAGTTCTGGTCATGAGCTCACTCTACCAGGCATATGGCAGTGCAAATTTGTTGTAGTCATATACAATTCACTGCTTATGAAAGGTAAATCTTTAAAAGTATGAAATTTAGTCAGGTCAGAATCATTTTAAAAACAGAAATCTGTTTGTATAATTATATAAGCACATATATACATATATATATACATGTATATGTATATTTTGTATATTATAGATTTGTTTTAAGAATATGACCTTTGATTGAAAGTTGTGTTAACATTCATTTCCTGTGCTCATCCAAATGCCTTTGCCTGGTGCCATTGTGTCTCTTTCTGCTCTTTGAATTCTTGTGGGCGTTTCTTAGTGCAATTTTCACCTGAACTACTGTATATGCACAAAAACAAGGTACAAAACTTTACTTCGCTGACCTCTGATGAACACAAATAATTACTAACTTTAATTTAGTTAATTGGGTGACAAAATCTGACCTCCTTGGCAAAGAGAATGTTTTCTTGGCTTTTTTTTTTCTTGCATTTTTAAACCAACAAAGACAAAATACCACATACTTTGTTGATTAAAGAACCATTTAATTTTTTAATTCTGGTTTATTTCAATCCTTACTCAAATTTCTGTGTAATAGGAATCAATTTACTTTTTTATAACAAGAGAGTATTGGAGAGAATGAACGTTATGAGTTGAAATCAAATTTTATATTATAAAATAGTCACTGGAAATTGGAAGACAATTTAAGTGTTGAATAATTATAAGTTGATAAACTCAAAGCTATGTACTGAATTTCAGTTGAAAAACTTGGCAACAGAAAAATTTGCTCCCATAATGAAGTTAAATTAACTTAGCTTTTCCAATTATTATTTATATATTCATTATATAATGTAAAAAAGGTATAAGCAAGGATTTATATTAATTTGTGCAAATTATGTTAATTAATATCATTAACTAATTATGTTAATTAATACTTACTTTAGACTGAATTTGAATCAGTAAGCAACATATCAAGTGTCTTCCACATAGATGAACTATGCATTAAGCAATGAAATATCTGACATTTTCAGCTTAATTAATTCCTTTTAATCAGTATGTTAATTATATTTAAACACCAACATATTTGTGAAAGGGCTTATAAACAAAATTCTTAATGGCCTGCCAGGTTATCTTCCATAATTAACAATTATCCATTATTTATATTAAAATTTTGATTATCATTGTGGTTATTTTTCTTTGTTGCCATCATGTGTGCTACTAATAATCACCCTACAACTCAAAGGTAATATTAAAAACAGAAAATTATAAGTTTATAAACATTAAGGATATGACAAACAAGGAGTTCTCGTTACAAAGCAAGTGTTTTATTATGTATTTCATTCGGTGTGCTAGTGTTATTTAATTTAAAGTTTCATGCTCGTGTCGTTGATTTGGGTTTCATCCTTGTTTTTTTTTTTTATATATATGGAACTTATAATATGTTCTCCTTATGTGTGCTTAAATACATTCGTCCAACAGATTAAAGTAAAATTATTGTATATTTTAAAATTGGACATCAACATGAAATATTATTAAACATTTTATTGTATTAAACAACATTGTATTGTAGTACAGGTATTATGTCATGTGACAGTTGTTTTAATTTGTTTATTTAGTTGACATGAGTATTGTAATCATTAATATTGTTGTAATAGCTGTTATGTTCATTGTAATAGCCAAGACTAGCTTACATTAAACCATATTTACCATTACTACCCCCCTCTGTTATACTCATTATATTAACTATTATTACTCCCTCTGTTACTCATATATTGTTATTATATGATTCTAATCAAATTTATCAAAATATAATGAAATTTGTAAAAATTTGTCTTGGTTACTGTAAGTATATCACTTTGTTAGACAATCATCATTGTATTGACGTAGTAACTGAGTCAAAATCTGTGCGTCCAAGTTAGCGCTGTTCCGTTGTTAGCTTGGTACTTAATTTAGTGTTGTAGACAGTTTGGGGCCTTGTGTCACTACACAGCATATGGACGTCATTACCACTGTTTTAGTAGGTAGACAATTTGATGACATGCCCAGTGTGCAGAGACAGGTTTACAAAAGTAGAACGTTTAAATTTCCTCTGTTGATCATTTTTGACGATTTATCTTTTGATATATTTTTCTATCGAAAGTCACTACGCACAATAATGTTCTGTTCTTTACTTGGGTTTTTTTTAATGTTTCAAGGGAAATTGCATTTGGCAAGTTGAAGTTTTGATGTTTAAAGGGATTATGAATGTGCTTTTTTATAAATGCTGCATTGGATTAATAATAATAATAATAGTAATGGAACCAATACAATGATGAATAATAAATATAACACTTATATTAATTTTTTAAAACAGGGTTATTGAATAATATGATGTTTTCAAAACACTTGTAGTGTTATTGCAACACTAGGGTGGGGTTTATTTTATTAAGAATACATTAAGTATTGATCAAAATATTTTTTAACTTTTTAAGTTTTTTTTTTACCACAATTGCAATAATAAGGTTTACCATGAAGAAAAATGATGAGTCTGTTTTTTTATCTTGTGTGCTTTTTAAAAAAGTAGTTATTTTGATTCATATGGAAAAGAATCAAAAAACATTTATACTTCTAATGTAGTATTGTTGATATTCTCCAACTGTTGGTTGTTGTCTTCACCGCTGTTATTTATTGCAAATAAAGGTTATAAATGCTTTTTGGAAGTATGCTTTATCACCACGTCTGTTTCTTTCACGAATGTGTGTGTTTTCGCATTAATGTTTTTTTGAAACTTATCTATTATTCTAAGATTTAATTGAAATTCGTACAATTGATATAAAATTAATGAACAGATTTATTGGCTCTGACTCCTGGTTGTCTGGCGCCCTCTCGTACATCTATCGTATTTCCACAGCGACTCTCTCAATGTTTTTTTATAAACCTTATTTAGAACGTTATTATTGGAATTTAATGATTTATTAAAACCGCATTGAAAGGTGTTTATAATAACTTCAGCACATCACCGGGCATCGAGTAACTGCAGATTATTCTGTCACGGGACGAACCTCAAAAGGAAGATTTTTTTTTCTTCTTGTTAGTAACATATCAGAACTGTAACAGACGAAAATATTTCGACAAAAGTATACACCACTGTGTACAAAATTATGTATGAGAATTTGGAATATTTGTTTATGCTTCGGATAGAAACAAACACTAATGGATGAGGCCTCGAGTTGTTTATTTAAAAATGTTTTATGTTATTGTGGCGGCGATTGGCCTACAAAAGCAATGTATTTTTCGGTCATGTCTACATATTATAACAGTAGGCCTACACATAATAATTGCTCTCACAACATTCGATCTCATAATACATATTCACATTCAATACATATGCCTATGCCATATTTGCCCTGAGCCTAAAAATTCAATAAATAAATGCCATTATATTTAGCTGATACAAAATAAAATATTTTATTTGATTACTTAATGTATATTAAAGTACTAGTACGTTGTTATCTTCGATATCCTTCTCATTCATTTCCATAGGACTGTTTGGATGTTTTAACAATTTTTGGATTGAAATTTAATGATTTGTCTATGAACCGCATACAGGTGAAAATATAAATTACTGCACATGGCCCTCGTCGATGAACTGCAGATTGTATTCATTAATTTAAAAAAGTCAACAGCGAGGATCACGTAATGCTATAATTAATCAATTTAATTTACCATCTCTCTAGATAGTTTAAAGTTTTCGACAAACAAAAAAGCATACACATCTTCGTCGAATGTGCGAATTGATAGACATCCTGCAAAAGTGCGTCATGACGTCATTAGGACATGTTCTATTTTTCCTACTATACTGTACATCCTTGGCGTTTTCGGCGCCGCGAGGAGTTTTTTTAATCTTAGAGATGTTTTAATTATTAATTTTCATTTTTTCGAATTAATTCTGGAATTAAAGTTTACATTAATGATGCTGGCAGTTCATAAAGAAATCGACCGCTCCATTCGCACATGATCCGCATACTGTTGAATAATTCCTTGGTATTAATCCAAAGAAAATTAATTAATTCGTTAATATTTCAGGAGTGACGATACGTTACCACCTAGCAAGGAAACAAGTGGAACATCACAGGACACATCTACCGATTTAAAGTTTAATTCCAAAAGTTGTGAAACGAGTCTGCGAGTCTTGGTGTGTTAGAAAATACTGATGAATTCGCTTCCTTAGTATTAAACAGTGCGTAACCCGTATGTAAGTCATGGTATAGGATAAAAAAAAAAAGGAAAAGAAAAAAAAACGCATCTCCGTATTAGCGTAGGCCTAACCCATTTTTGTAAACCTGAACAAATAAACAATGTTTTTATATAGCATTTCTAGTTCAAGCATGGTGATTCTTGGCGGAAAAAACCATAATATATAAGTACCGTAAATGTCTACCGTAATTAATATGCCTACACGTAGTCACAATATTGTTATGTTATAATATTTCATTTGGTTTATTTTAAATTTAATTGAAGGTTTTTATAGGATTACATAAGTCATGTCACAAACAGGAAGTATTAAAAAAACAGACAGGCTCTTGTCAAAAAGGGGTCCTCTGCATAAAATTGTGAAGATTGGCAAAATATAAAACAAAATGTTGATTAAAACCATTCCTCAGAGGTCACGAATGAATCTCAAGGTTTCCATTTTAATTAAGGTTTACGGTGTCATCGCTTATAAATAGATATGGTGTTATCAATGTTAACAATGAAGTTTATTGATATATGTTGATTCTTCTAGTTAAGTTAACAAGCTTAAATAATTACTTATTTATTCGTTCGTCGTTCATTCGTTCATTCAATCATTTATTCGTCGTTCGCACAATCGGTCGTTCGTTCTTTCACTTATTTATTTATGTATGTTTTATTTATATATTTATCATTCACTCAGTTACGTGTTCATTCATTCATTCATTCATTCATTCATTCATCAGTCCGTCCGTAAAATCATTAATTTGTAAATTATTCTTAATGTGTTCGTTCATTCGTTCGATTACCCATTCACTATTCGCTCGTTCTTTTGTTCGTTCATTTATTTTACAAGTTAATACTTAGTATGTCCCTGACTCTTTAGCCACCTTCAACTAATAAACTGTTATATTAAATGATACATAAACATCATCCTTATCCTCGCCGTGGTCATCAGACATCATCATAGGCCTATCATCTTATCATCAGTATCACTATGCTTTTGAATTGCCTGTGTTTATTTCTATCATGTGAACAGCAATTTCCCTCCATAGTGAAATCGGCCTCCCGGAAAGGGGACGTCGCCTCCGGACGTCGCCTCCCCACCCCACACCCCACACCCCCTCCATTTTTGTATAATTGATTTTTCAATCAACGGCAATAGTTGTGGTTATTGTCATCCTTGGAATAAATAAAGTTAGATGGGTAAATACAATTAATATCGACTTAAATTGTCTCTGTCGATCCAATACACCTCCCTGATTTTATAACATACCGTATACCTATCATTCGTATATTTCTACACAGAATTAATCTAATCCGAAATGCCAACTAGAGACCACACGGGAAATGAGTAAACAGAAATTAATTACCAACCCGATTAACAATAGCACGTGCTGGCTTCGGCATAGTGCGCGCTTACACTTTACTCTGCCTCTTTTCACGATTGTTGGTACTGTAAAGGTTGCCATTTTTGCACTCCTCTCGAGCATCTCTAAATGTCAGATCTCGACAAACAAACACAGTTTTATCCTTTTCATTTAACGAAGTTTTGGTGTTTTGATGATGCAGATGAATCGTTTTGCAACATCATTCTAACTGCGTGTTTTTTTTCAGTGGCGATCATCCAATAGTAATGACACGGATTAAGCCCTACAAACAAGGGTTGAGTTTCTGAAAGCAAATACCATCCCACAGAATCTATCGATTCTATTTAAATACGGTACAATTTTCAATATGACCGATGACCTTTTCAATTAATTTTTTAACAATATCCAACAGAATATGTAATTGGGTATAGGCCTACTTACCGTATGCATTATAAGAGAGAGAGAGAAAACCTTTTAACTTTATACATTTTTGGAATGCGGCGTTCCCATGATGAAGGGGTGTGGGAACTTAGAGACATTTGTAAAGTAAAAAATTCTTTTAGATAACTTGCCACCCCAAAAATATTTTTGAACACTCAGGTAAAAAGTCTAAAACTTGCTGCAATATTTGGTGTTTTTTGTTTTTGTTTTTTTTTCATGGTAAGGGCAGGATAGGTTAGATGGAATTTACCTCATCCTGGTGGCCTATATATTACCTTTGTCTTTAGCCCCTCCTTTTCTGTTTGCTCTATTTCTCTTACCGCTTCTTTTCTTCCTAATCACATTTTTTTTCCTTTCTTGTTTCTTAATTCGGTCTGTTTCTACCATTCTTTTCGCTCGTCAGGTATTTCGGACTTCCATATTATCTCTAATCCCTCCACACTCTAATCTCCACCCTCCTCTTCTTTGTTGTTTCCATTTAATTTCCTCTCTTGTGTTGTACATTAATTAAGTAAAATCGCAAAGATAAAGTAGAACTCACAGGCAAAATAAATTCAAATGAAACCAAACTAATGAATGTTTCGGTTTTAAAACTAAAACTGTGTACGAAGTACCTTTTACACGTACGAAATAGCTAGGGAATACCTCTACGAGTGTTGTATGTGATATTGTTTAAAAGCATACCGGCCTTTACGCATTATACGTACAAATAATTATACACATTTATTAACTTGCAATTTCTCTTAATCTGTATAATCATAGTACACAAGACACAACATTTCCTTTCGAACTTCTATCAGTGTCAATTTTCAATAAGTAGGCCTATGTCGAGGGTTATATTTTAACTGACCGAAGAAAGAGAATAATTTCAATTAACATAAGGCTGGCCTCATATACATCAATTTATATGATACGTTATACACCGTTGTCCAAAACTTCTCTTTTGGTTCTGGTGGATAAAGCCGACTTCATACTCCAAAATACACCCTTATACTTTATTTCCATTTTTCTGTTCAGGGCACGATGGTTTGCTATAGTATTGCGTTAGCGTGCCGTAGTTTACAAAACTTATTTTACTGCAGAGGGCGACATTGAATAAATCTGATTTTCTTTGCTGCCGCGTCTAGGGAACTTATTAGTTAGTATAGGCCAATCAATTATACGGCATTTCACCTACATGGAAATGCACTTTTAAAAATTAATTCTAGCCAAAAACACAAAGGAAACATGGCCCACTTTCCAGTAGAAAAAATATAAAATTTTCCTTTTTGTGCGTGAAATGAAAATCATTTGACATTGAACAACAGAAAAAAATATGCCATGATAAATTAATCATTCCATCAAATCATAATCAATTTAGATTCGGAAACAAAGATTTATTGTGACAGATGGAATTAGAATATAGATTATCAATTGAATTATACTGATTATATTAATATTGGCTATACATTTCATATGACGAATGTTGCATAAGGCTTAGATGGGCTATACTGTACACTGCCGTAGGCCTACGTTGGATTGGAAAAATATTCAAACGCTTTATTATCTCCGCGCCAGGAGATATATGTTTTCAGTCGTGTAAGTGTGTGTATGTTAGTGTGTTGTCACATTATTTTTACAGTTTCAGTAGTTGAAAATAAAATGTTTGTATACTATATATTGATTGGATTCAAAAC